CAAAAATTTTTCTTTTAATTTGACTCTTGACTTTAATGACCATACTCTTCCTTCTATTCTAGTTAAAAAGATTAACTCTGTATTAGATATCCAAATCATTCCGGCTACCATTGCAATATTCATTTCTCAATAAAACTCTAATATGGCTTGTGGTCCAGACAACAGTATTATAGTCTTACCTAAGTCTTATCCAGAAATCTTTTTAATTCTCTCTAAACAATTCAATATGAGCTTGATTTAATCTTGTTTCCTTGACTGCTGGAAAACAGCACTTGTGGTTTTAATTTTTAAAAACTCTAGAGAACACTCTGACCCCTCTTATTATTGTCAGATCAGTCTCCTGGTTTTTTTATTTCTAAACTTCTTTTATTATGAGCAAGGTTATTAAAGTTCTTTGATCAACAATTTCCTACCTCAATCCTCCAAATTAGGGTCAGCATTTATTTTTCAGAGGTTTTAAAGGGACTACCAAGTCCTTAGACATGTTGTGTTCATATTAAAGAGAATGTTAAAAAAAAACGTCTGAGCAAATTTTTTTTTGATTAAAACTAATTAATAAATGTATACCAAGAAAAACAAACCTTGTTGTTTTAGTCGAAGCTCGTCTTCTCCGTTTTCTCTGGTATTTTGAGTATGTAAAATAAATGCGATTTTCCAGGCGCATTATACAGACTTGATAATTTATTCAAGCTTGTTTTAATTTATAGGAGTTTCAGAGCATAACATCATTGGAAACATTCTAGAAATTCTTTAAAAATTTTACTATTAAATTTTACTCAAATAGCTAACTATAGTTACTTATTTTATTAAAAGCTTATTTTATTAATTGTTCGTTAGTTTTTTACAAATCTAACGAACAATTAATTAAATCAAGCACTAAAAAAAGATATAAAAATTAAGAATATACTAATAAAATATATAATTTGTAATTAACTTTCAAAATTTTGACAATTTAAAAAATATATATTATAAAACATTTATTTTTGTAAACAAATGATAATAGTTTAAAAGTTTTACGGCTTTACAGATGTGGCTCCGAGAATGAGCCATAATATTAAAGTAATAGTTCATTTGATAATATATTCTTAAAAAAATTTATGCTAGATATCTCAAAACGCAACAAATCGTAAATAATACAATTCCTAAAACATTTCAACAGAATTCTCTAGAACTTTTTTTTGCTTAGTCAGCGTGTTTTTTGAACCAATAGATTTAGTTAATTCGCAAATTTGGCTGGTTTTTAGTGTTCGCGAATATTCTTTTTATTCTTTCGCAAGATGTTTTAAGAACATTAAAGTTAATTATGTTTCCATGTGTGTCTGTAAAATAAAAATTAATATATATTAATTTTTTAAATTTTAAGCCCCCACCATAATATGTATTGGATGTTATAATGGAAATATAAATAATGAAGATCACCTCAATACCAAAAAATACATTTATGAAAATCAGAGAAAAAATGCGTTAATAATTTTTTTTTAAATATTTACAAAGTAAATTAATAAAAATGCATTATTATTTAGGTTAATTAAATTATTTTATCTCATATTTTGAAAGAAAAACTTATAACAAAAGAAATCAAAATACACGTGGTCTAGACGATTATTTAAAAAAGTTGCGCAAACAAAATACTATTTTGTTTTTAATTTTATTTTCATTTTGTTTTTAATTTTATTTTGTTTTTAATTTTGTTTTAAAAACACATTTTAGAACTTTGAAATATAATAAAAATGAATATGATTTGGAAATTGTTTTAAACAAACAAAAAAATAATCTATGCCATCATGCACTAAAACTTCTATGAATAAAACGCGCTTGAATAAATTATTAAGTCTGTATAATGCGCCTGGAAAATCGTGTTTATTTTACATACTCAAAATACCAGAGAAAACGGAGAAGACGTATACATCTTGGTATACATTTATTAATGAGTTTTAATCAAAAAAAAATTGGCTCAGACGTTTTTTTGTAACATTCCCTTTAATATGAACACAACATGTCTCGGGACTTGGTAGTCCCTTTAAGCAAACGTCGAACAGTTTTAGGTTTTTTTTTATCTTTCCTAATTTGGAGGGCTGCTATCTTGTGTCTAACACACTCTGAAAACCAACATGGTTTTTGTTCTTATCGTTATATGGCTGACTTACTAATTGGTGTAACTGTAAATTCTATTATGCATTAGATGGTGACAGCAAGGCAAGAGCTATTGCATTAGACATATCTAAAGTATTCAATAAAGTTTGGCATACTTGTTTTCTCCATTAGTTTGCTTTATTTTGTGTCTCTGGTAAATGAGATGTATTTTAAATTTTCATAGATGGTATGTCTCTTTTATGAAGCCTTTAGTTCAGCATATATACCAGCAGTATGAAACAAAAGATTTACATATCATACCTGCAACTATAAGTAGTGATCATTCAGGTCATACTTTTAAGAAATATATGGAAAAAACACATAAATATAAATGCATTTTGTGTAAATAGTAAAATATATATAAATAATAAAATATTATAAGAATCTCATTTGTTTAAAAATGTTTTTATTGATATGTTAGCTTTATTTAGCAAAAGCTAATTGAAGAATTAATTTGATTTAAAAAACAACATTTTTATAAAAATGCAATATGCGATATACTTAAAATGAGTACTGCAAAGTAAACAGAAAATTATCTTATTTAACAAAAAATGTATTTATTTTAGCAACATATAAAAGCACTTTAATCAGGCTTGGTCGGGAAGCGGGAGCGATCGTTCTCGATTGCTGACCATGTGAATAATATTTAGTTGCGAAAAGCTGGCCAGATTTTTTATTTGCTTTAAGAACATTTTAAAAAGCAAAAAAAGAATACTCTTTATTTTGCTTAATCAGCGTATTTTTTGAACCAATAGAATTAGTTTGTTAGTTAATTTGGCGGGTTTTTAGTGTTCGTGAATATTCTTTTTATTATTTTGCACAAAGATGTTTTGAGAACATTCAAGTTTTTTATGTTTCCATGTATGTCCGCAATATAAAAATATTTTGTTTCGTACATAAACTTAAATGTTCTCAAAACAACTAAACTACCTGGCCAGTTTTTCGCAACTAAATATAATTACTGTGGTCAGTATTCGAGAGCAATCGCTCCCGCTTGCCGACCAAGCCTGTTTAGTGTGTCTAAAAAGAACTTTTAATATACTGCACTTTTTTTACTTTTACTCAAGTAATTTTGGTCTAACAGTACTTTTTCCATTGCAAATATATTATATATTTAAGCTACTTTTCAACTGCATGAAAATTTCAATACAATAATAAACTCTCACTATTAATAATAATCTAACAATATTAATAAAAATCTCAGTATTAATAATTATCTCACAATAATAAATGCTCACTATTAAAATAAAATAATAATCTATTTCGATAATAATACAAGTAGCCTAAAGTAGTTTAAACACAAACTAGACATTATGTAAAAGAAGTTTGTAAAAGTAAAAAATAATCATTTAATAAATCATTTAATATGGAACCAGCTCGGATATTAAAAATGTTTCAATTGGTATACCTCAGGGATCCATATTAGGTCCTCTTCTCTTTATTATCTATATTAATGATCTCAATCTTTCTATCAAACATTCAAAAATGTATCATTTTGCTGATGATACTAATCTTCAATTAATAACAAACTCTCTCAAAAAACTTAATAAATATATTAATCAGGATATGGCCAGTCTTGTTCAATGGCTTAGAGCAAATAAAATCTCATTGAATACTAAAAAAATCAGAAATAATTGTATTTAAAACTCGAAATACTAACTTTTCTAAAAAAATCACCCTAAAATCAGGTCTCATCCTTAGGTTCAAGAATCTGTTCTTAAAATCACTCCATCATTTCTACCTAGAAGGTTACGCCTAACTTTACTTTTGAATTTTTTACTTTCTATCTTTTGACTTATTTTTATTATATATTTTAATTTTATTTTTAATATTTTATTTTTAATAATTATTTTTATTATAACTTATTTTATTATAATTCTTGTTTAAGTATATGTGCATATATAAATGTACATTATATTAATTGTTATATATATATATATATATATATTAAAAAAACTGATTTTTTTGGTATAATTTAATAAACTTTTATGCAATTTTACTTTTAATAGTTATTATTATGTTTATACTTATTTAACTTAACTTCCTTTTATAAACTACTTTTTTATGTGGTTTACTTATTACATATTATTATTTATTTTATTTAGGTCAATGCGCTTTATTAGTGAATCACTGTTTGCAATGATCTGTGTTTTTGTAACATCTGTAACACAAAATATATTGTTATTGTTGTTTGTTTGTATGTGATATATTTTCTAATCTTTAATCATAAATCATTTATGATTAAAGATTAGAAAATATATACATTCACTTATGCATTCATGCCTACACAAATCCAGTTTGTAAAACTTATAAAATAATAACAAATATATAAAAATAATACAAAAAATATTGTGTTATATTTGAACTAACTATGAAACAAAGTCATCTTGTGTAATGTTACATTTCTCAAATATAAAATGCACAACAATTTCATATATTATTAAATTTGAAATTAAAACTACTTTAAATATAAAAGTTATGTGTAAAACAGTAATATTAAATATGCTAATATAATTTTATATAAAGTACAAGAAACTTTAATTATGTAAATAATGAAAATTCTAGTGTTTGTTCAGCAGTAATATTAAAGATGCAAATATAACTCTCAAAACTTACCATCGTAATCTTTTTATAATATAATTTTTACCTTTAGCAACGATTCTGTGAAAAATCAATATAAAAAAGCAGCGTGGTCTGTAGTAGATTATTACCACCGCCTGAATTATTCCATCCCCCTATGAAAAACTCAAAACAAGAGAGCTTCTAAAACGCCGAATTCTAAAACGCCGAAAAGCCAAAATGCCGAAAAACTATCTTGGAGTAACAGAATAAAAAACGGAATGCGAGCAAAGAACAACCGGTAGTCAACCCCCGCATTATTAGTTTAAATTAATGTTTTGAATTTTATAAAATTCAAAACATGTAAAATTAAAAAATATAATGTAGCAATAAGTTTTGTATTGCTATGCCATCTGTGTGTTGTATACCAAAATAATAGTGGCCTGCAACAATAAAGTAAGTTTAGCGGAAGCTGCACAATAAGGGGAAAGCCTGTCACTAATGCTAAACATGCACAGTAAGATAAAAATCTGTTATCACAACAATAGGAAATAGTAAAATTTTCGTTGTTTTTCTTTCTATTTGTTTCTTTATTTTGTGTTAGATAACACAGATTAAAGATTAATTAATCTTTAATCTGTGTTAGCTAACAAATATTAAGACATTAAACTTTAATGTTTTAATAGTATGGTTGACCTATCAGTTTGACAAACCTCAAGTACTTTTAACAGCCATACTTTCCTTTTATAAGCTAAAACGATTGCTAAACATATTTATTTTATTGAAAGTAAATATAGAGTAGTTAGTTTAGCAACAAAATTCAATAAAGCTTGTTGAAGAAACTTCAATGAAGTCTTAATAAGTATTAATTTGTTTTTTTGCTTGTTTGTTTATGTTTAGAAAAATGACAAGGAATGCAAGCATTGGGAGAAGCTTTGAGCTTTGCAAAGTGCTGTATATGAAGGAAGGTACCTAAAGGTATGTTTTATTCAAATTATTATTGTAAAACTGTCTAGTGAGAAGAGAGTTTGTTACTGTATAGAAAAAAAAAGAATTAGTATATGAAGTTTAATAATTTGTTAAAATTGGAAAATAAACTTCTAGGCATGAATTTATTATAAACAGAACAGAAAATTTATGGAACACATTGCCATTGGAAGTTGTCAAGTAAACAAATGTAAACAGTTTCAAGAGAAAATTAGACAAATATTTAGTATCAAAAAAGTTAATTATTTTTTAAATTATTTTTTGTTTAAACTATTCATCTTTTGCATTATATTATTGAAAGTTATATTTTGTTATATATAAGTTATATTGCAGTATATTTTCAAAAGCTGTCAAATTAAATTTCTAACTCACTTGCTGTTAACGCAGCTACAGTTTGACTACTACTATGACTATTATATATTTTTAAATGTTAGCATCAGTTTTTTCAGTAATTTTTACTATTTTGTTAATAATGCTAATATATATATATATATATATATATATATATATATATATATATATATATATATATATATATATATATATATATATATATATATATATATGAAAGATTTGTGAAATTTAACTACTCCTTTATTAGTTTTTGATTCTGAAATTAAGTAATTTCTAATCCGCATAGTTTCCAGTAGATTAATATTTTTCTTAGAATGCAAAACTTTCATTAGTTCTCTGAATTGTGACACTATTTTTGCATAACATTGCAAAGTCTTCACTTGTTACACATACAAGTTTTTATTTATGTTTTTAAATAAATTTAATCTGGAGTTGATAAGATTATGGCAATGTTTTTAAATTGTTAATTAGAATGTAGTTTTCTGAGAAAAGATAAAATAAATTGACCTATATCTTAATCAATTTTAATATGAAGCTAATAGAATAGTGTAAACTTTTTTTATGTTTTTTTGGAAATCATAATAAGATGTAGGTTTTATTAAATTTTTAAGATGTAGATGATAATTTTTATATAGATTAGAACATTTACAAAAATTTTCCCAAATAAATATGACAGTTTTTACCATAACAATTTAATTTATGTATGCCTTTAATGTGTATTTGTTTTTACTAAGTATTTAATATTATTTTTATTACCTTTATTGTTATTTTTTTACTTAAATTTATCAACAAAAAAAATTACTAATTTTTTTCTGAATTATATTTTGTATCTTTGAATGAATCTCAAAATTGAAAATTATGAAAAAGAACATTTCTTTCTCAAAATTCAAATTTATGGCCAACTAACAAGAAAGATCTTTGTTTTATTAGCAGAAATATTCCCTTCAACATTTAGAAAGTTTCAGACACCAATTTCTATTTGTGTTTCAAAATAACCACAACTATGCATTGCAAATAATACCTGTTGATCAATCTTATTCTAATACAATCAATGATAAAACATCAACAGCTTATTTAAATAAAAATGCGAGCCTTAAAGATCAAAATGTAATTGAGGTTAATATGCATAATGAAACTTCTGACAAAGTTTTTATTCCACTTTCCATGACATCAGAAAAATCTGTGACATCAAAAAATTCAAAAGCAACTTTGAACATAACTGCAGCAACTCCTGCCATAACTAAAAAAACAGAGACACTTACCTTTAATGAAGTTCTGACTCTATTACAAAATGCTACTTATTTTAATAATGGAGAAGAAACTATACCTGTTCGTCCCAAAGCAGGAGAAATTTATGGGTTTACAATTTCCAGTGACAAAACATTAAAAAAGCATTTGCGAGCAGATGGCTATATGTGGAGGAACAAAAAAAGTTGTGCATTAGGAAATGGTTTAATCACTAAGACATATTTTTACGCAAGAGTTGGTAAAACATATACTAACAATTTTGAAAAGCATGAATATATGTTGCAAAATGGAAAAAAAGCATTGATTCATTACTTGGGCAATGAAAAATCATATGTTGATAGATGTCATGGAAATTCAACAAAATCAAAATCTTTTTTTTACAGATCATCGCATTATGTTTTTGATCAAGTTTTGGCTCAAGGGAAAAATAAACCCATGGATGCATATAGGAGCCTTTTATCAAATGACCCAGGTGGTCATATTTCAACTTCTATTATTCCAAGAAATCCTAAACAGGTTGCAAATATTATGACAAGAAATGCTGAAAAAAATAATTTTCATAATAAGGATGAGGTTTGGAATAGTCATCTTGTTGCCTATTCCATTCATCCATTTGTTCGAAAAATAGAAAGCTACCCAGACATCTGTATTGTTATGTGTTGTGAAAAAATTGTTGCACAAATGGAAGAAATGTTAGAATTACTACCTTGTAAAGAAATTACACTTCACTATGACACAACTTTCAATTTAGGAAATTATTATTTGTCATGCTTAGCTTATCGACACGTTTGTTTGGAAACAAAAAGGAATAAATACTTATATTCTTCGCCTACTGTTCCTTTTGCATTTTTTATACATGAAAAAAGATTAGCACAAAATCACAAATACTTTTTTCAAACATTAAAAGAAAATGTTTGCGGAAAAAATTTTAATAAATCCAGGAAGTTATTCATTTCTGATCGTGAGTTTGATGGCTCCCATTATTTTGATAATACAAAAAGTTTGGTATGTTGGAACCATTTATTGCAAAATGTAAAGGAATGGATGCGAAAGAATGGTAAATTTTCATCATCAGAGTATGATGAAGCTGTAAAAGCCATGAAATACATTCTTCGATCAAATTCTGTTTTTGAATATTAATCAAAACTTAAAAGTCTAACGAAAGGAAATATCAACCCTTGGAATGATCAAAAATTTCAAAAAAACTACATTCAATACATGCACTTTGATGTTATTTCTCGTGCTGCTGCATTTGTTTTAGCAGAAGAAGGGATAAAGTACCCAAACTTTGGTGTTAGCAATAATGCGTCAGAGTCTTTAAATAAAGTTATTAAGGATCTTATTGACAACAAAATAACAAAAATGGACTCTTGCATTTTAGCTATGAATTATCTCAGTGCCTATTTTCACAGAGAAGTTGAAAAGGGATACTATAATGTTTGTTTGTATCAGTTAAGTGATGAGTTTGCCTTTATGTTAAGATCAAGAGATGAACTTAGCGCTAATCAAATCATCCTACCAGATGACATAGTAAAGCATATAAAAGAAACTGAAATACATTACAAAGATCATAACAGTATTTCTTCTCCTTATGCTTCTATAGAGATGTTAGTTGAAAAACCAGTTAAAAGTGATCTTCCAAAACTTGTTTATTCAATATCCTCATTAGCAAAGGATATATTAAATAAAAACGGAGTTGTATTTGTTCCCCAAAATCGAAGTTGGTCAGTGAAAGAATCAGAAACAATTATTCATTCTGTAAATTTGAACCCACCTGCACATTGTACTTGTGGTGCCTCGAAAAATTGTGTTCACATTTTAGCAGTTCAATATCTCTCTGGAAATGTAAATAGTTTAGAACACTTTGAAGGGAAAAAAAGAAACTTAACTTCACTTATACAAAAAAATAGGCTTAAAGTTGAGAGAAAATCAGGCAAAAAAAAACCAAGGAAATGTGATATTGATTCGAATTTAAAAACATTGAATTTTTGTGAACTTGCAGTTCCAAAAAATGAAAGTTTCAGTATAAAGCAGAATGAGCAATCTACTGTGCCTGAAATAAAATATCCTTTTCCAAGAGGACTTCAATGGGGTGTTGGTTTGGTTTTAAACAGTTGCACAATTGATAACACTTTAACAATGTTGAAGTTGCGTTGCCATGCAGATAAGTACTTTTTAAATCGCCTTGGTACTTCAGAAGCAGAAATAGAGCTTAAAAAAGCAATGAGATATTTAAATAATGATGATGACAATTATGGTAAAGAAATCTGGGCATGCTTTTTAAAAAGTAAAATACAAATTACAAGCTCACCTTGTTTTAACTTATATGGATCATGATGATCCATATAAGTTAAAACAAGGTGAGCTTGTAATTTGTATTTTATTTTTTAAAAAGCATGCCCAGATTTCTTTACCATAATTGTCATCATCATTATTTATTGCCACAAACTAAACAATTTAGAAGCAATCTTTTATCTTTCAAATAACCTAGCAAATAATCTGTTGGGTCATGGTTTGGAGGCAGTTCTATAAAATCAAAAGGATGAAAAGAACTATTTAAACATGTAAAACATTTTCCAACACTCTCGAATGTAAATGCTTCTTTAAAGTGGTTGAAAAAAAATGTTTTAGATGATTCATCTAAAACATTTTTTTTCAACCACTTTAAAGAAGCATTTACATTCGAGAGTGTTGGAAAATGTTTTACATGTTTAAATAGTTCTTTTCATCCTTTTGATTTTATAGAACTGCCTCCAAACCATGACCCAACAGATTATTTGCTAGGTTATTTGAAAGATAAAAGATTGCTTCTAAATTGTTTAGTTTGTGGCAATAAAGAATTAAATCACTCTGGCACGACATTAAAATCTCAAAATACTTGGATGATTGTGATTGAGTGTGATATTCCTAACATTTCAATTTCTTCGCTGATGAATTTGCCAAAAAAAATTTTAATTGAAAAATGTTACTTTTCCTTGGCATGCATAACTCTTGGACTTAATGCTCACTTTACATATTTGCACTACATAAGAGATCAATGGTTTTTTTATGATGGTATGCAAAAAAATGGAAAACTAACCAAGATGATACCATATAATTGGCAAAATAAAGTTGCAAACCATGTCATTTATTTTATTGATTAATTCTTTTTGAACTTATATGAATTGCACTGTAAAGTTTTAAGATTTTAGATTCATTTTTACTATATAGTGATAATATTATAACTAACACGATATATTTATGATTTATAATAAAAAAGTTGTGTTTTTTTATTTATTAGAGTAATTTCTGTTATTTATATATAGCTTTTGAAACACTTACAGTGAGTTTGCGAATAATTTGAAAAAATTTTAGTTAAAATTTTCCTTGTGTTAGATATTTTTTTATACCCATTTGTTTTCATATAGTATTTAGTTTTAAATACTTTTAGTAATAGTAGAAAAGAAAATGTTTTTAAAGTTGTTGCTTTTTTTATCAATAAATCTGGTATAATTGGTATTGTTTTGTTTTGCATCATAATACAAATTTTCATAAAATAGTTATATATTGTTATATATTTTCATGTTATGTAAAACTTCTTTAACATAGATAGATTTATGTAACATAGACACCCGAAAATTGCGATATAGGTTGACATCTATTTCAAATGATATCAAAAATTAACTTTGAATGTGTATGTAAAAACACTGGCAACCAGCTTGTATGCCAATATATAAAAGTCTCATTGACCCATGTTTCAGGTAAACAGCTTATAAGGTTTTTCTTTTTTATTGATAAATTCTAAAAAATAAATTATTTTTTAAAATGTATTTTAGTGTATGCTGATGTAGCTTCTAAAATGTGAGAGGGCAAGGAAATTAGACGTTACAGTACTTTTCACAAACTAATCTGGCTTTAGTCTATATACTACAAGAAGTAATAAGAAAAATCAATTTCAGAAGATTACCAATCCTTTCTTCCTGGCATCTTTTAAAAACTCTTAAAAGTGAATTTGGCATTGACAGGTTATATACTTTTTTTGTTGCTGGTACATAAGATATTTGTCATTTTTAAAATATAGACAACCCAAGACTTTTCTTATTTTATATATACTGTGGGTGGGTGAAATAAAAACATTACTTAAGAAGACTTTTTACTCATTTATTCAAAAGTGTTAATTTATAAGGCATAAATTTGGCAGTGATTTTTATTTGACAATTGCTGTTTCAAATTTTTTTTAAACTCAATCACTTCATATTCAATCCAATTTATTTAGCCTTATTATTAAATATTATGAAATATTTATTTATCTGTAGATACTAAATGGCGATAATTATGTTATATCAGCAAAACGAGTAATGAACAGTTTTAGTCTTCAACGGTTGAAATTACTCAGCAAACATGAATTCATTGAAGAAACTGATTGTCGTTGCTCTAGCATAAAGATCGTTGCACGATCGACCTGATAAAAGATGAAATTACTTATATATGTGATTAATTAAAAAAAGACAATTAGTTTGTAAATAATCAGGTGAATGGTAGCCTTTATTATATGGCTGGTTGTGTTCAGCACAGGATGTTGTGCATAGTTAATGTAACAATATCAGTTTTTCAGTTCCAAAATTAAAAATTATGTTTCACATAGTAAATTGGGTTTTCTTACTCTTTTGCATTTTATTCGTTTTTGTTAAATATTATTTAACAGTGCTCCAAAATATTAAAAAACGTTTTTATTTGTAATTTTAAAGAAACTCTTTTTTTATTCCTACACTTGACATCATCAATTAATTTAGAAAGTAACAGTATCGGTGCTAAATAATTATTTCTCTAATAACTAACTTTTAAAAAAAAGTTTTAACATTTAAAAATTTATTACGGTCTATGTGGGTACCGCCAATATTTTTTTAATTCGCATTTTATATTTGCTATTACTACTAAAATTTTTAAGTTTTTATAAATAATGGAGCTTTAAAATATATTTATTAATTACACAGGTCTGCAAATTAAATTTTTTTTTTTTTTTTTGGAATGGGTGAATTTATGCTGATTTCAATAATACCATCCATTTCGACCCATTACGTAAGGATTTTCCGCTAAGTCGAAAATAAAATATGGGCAAAGCCCGCCTTACACTACTATTTTAGACAATAATCATAAGAAGAAGAAAAATGGTAAAACTATGCAAATTTGGTTCATTTTAAATCATAAAATAATTTGTATACATTATATACAACTATAAAGCTTTATAAAATCTAGTTTTTTTAGTTTCGAAGCTTCGTTTACAGCTTTTTCTTTTGTGGGATGTTACATTTTCCCTATGCAGCATCCAGCAGTAGTCGCCCATCATATTTGTATCCCATCGACCTTGATGCCTTCTCTCCATTTCTTTTATATCTTGGTGAAACCTCTCACCTTGCTATTCACTAACTGCACCAAGATTTTCCGGGAAGTAATCCAAATGGGAGTTCAAAAAATGGAGTTTTGAACTCATTGAGCATCCCAGATTTTTAGAATTGCACAACATATTTTCTACGATATTTTTTAAGTCCGAGTCTTTCTGATTCCCTAGAAAATTTGTTACTACGTCTTTAAAAGAATTCCATGCTGACCTCTCAACACAGTTTACCATATTTTCAAAGTTGTTATCTTTCATTAGCTCACGAATGTCAGGACCAACAAAAGCTCCCTCTTTCAGCTTTGCTTCAGACAGACCAGGAAACTTGCTTGAAAAAAATTTAAATGTCTCACCATCTTTTAGCAACGCCTTCACAAACTGCTTCATCATGCCAAGTTTGATATGGAGTGGTGGTAGAAGGACCTTTTTAGGATCAACCAAAGATTCAAAGTGCTCGTTTTTATCTCCGATCTTCAATGTTCTTTTTGGCCACACTTTTTGCTTCCAGTGTTTAGTTTTAGCACGACTATCCCATTAACAAAGAAAAAAGGGTAATTTTTTGTAACCACCTTGCTGTCCAAGTATTATAGAAATTACTTTAAGATCCCCACAAACTGTCCACTCGAATTCTTTGTACTTTAATAATCCAAGATCAATGCCAAGTTACAATAAGTTGCCTTCAAATGCACTGAGTGACCAACGGGTATTGATGCGTACTTATTCTTGTTGTGAAGTAAAAAAGCTTTTATTCTTCTTTTTGAAGAATCAATAATCTGCCTCCAACTTTCAGCCATATGTTGAACTTTGAACATGGATATTAACCCATTGTTATCGGAACAATAGACCATCTCACCATATTGAGGAAAATAAGGGCTCAAAATATTTATTTTGCAGATATGTTTTGAATAGCAGATTGTTTTGAGAGTCCTAAATCTCGGATAAGGTTATTTAATTCAGCTTGAAAAAAATGTTGAGGACTACTGTAGTCGCCTAACTGAAACTCGTCACAAGAACTTTCTTCTGATTCACTTTCTAATGATGGTAAATCATCTAGACTTTGGGGTGCTTGTGGTGTAGGAATGCCAGGTCCGTGAGGGACTGGGTGGAGTGTCGATTCCATGTTTGGATAAAAAATTTATTTTTTATTTTTGGTACTATACCCCTGCACATAACACGAACAAAAGTAGCAGTCATCGCTGTGGTTTCGAGGCTCTCTCCAGATTATGGGTACACCAAAACGAAAAGATTTAACTTTACTTTTTGACCACATTCTAAGTTCTTCAACGCACCCTGAACAAACTCCATGCGGAGCCCAAAATTTGTCCTAATTGCCTATCTTCACACCAAGATACACAAGTACACATTTTTAAAAAATTCAGTAATATTTCATTGTTGTTTTGTATATATCGAGATTTTCCATTCTTACTATAGAAAATCCCGATATATATATGGTTCAACGCTTACTAATATTATCTTCATGAGTTACTAAATATTTTGTTTTAGCCTACGAAACATAAAATTATCTTATAATAAGTTAATAAATAAAATAATAAATATTTTGGCAATAAACCCCGTTTTGCGCCCTAAAATAAACAATCCCACAGCATTTTGCGTTTTTTAGAAAAACCTTACATGATGGAATTTTTTTGATAACTTTTTCGAATTCAGCAACCTAAAATTATAAGAATTAACTCTTTAATCTTAGAAAAAAAATATGTTGCAATTAATTGCCCGCGTATTTTAGAGATTACACGAGGCTTTATTCTATTTAATGAAATAATTGATGTGATTCAAACCCATATATATTTAAAACAAGGTATATTAAAAAACTCTTTCTAAAAAGTCTTTAACTCTTTAATGAGACCAAAAAAGCTAAAAGGTATATTTTGTTCTGTCATTTGCGATGTTTCAATGTTTTGGTCTGTTTAACATCGCTCACAAAAGCTTTGAATGCGGGAAAAGATTCGTAGAAGGCGCAA